AGGCTGAGAGAGTGTGACTTGACCAAGGCCACCTAGTGGGTTTCATGGCCCAGCTGGGATTTGAAGCCTGGACTCCAGAGTCGTGGTCCAACACTCATACCGGGGTAGGCAACCTTTCCCCTTTAAGGGCCGAGGGACTTCAGTTCCCAGAATCCCAGGAGCTATTGGCCAACCTGGGACTATTGGCAAACATGGCTGAGGCTTCTGGGAGCTGAAGTCCCTCCTCCCTTAAAGGGGAAAGGTTGCCTACCCCTGCGCCACGCTGGGACTTACTTTGGAGTAAATATGGGTAGGCTTGTTTTAATGGAAGAGAATAAAAGTGGAATCAGGCGCTTCTTCTCCTTCTCTCCTGTGTCTTTTTTTTTTTTAGTTTTTAAAATAACAAAGTGGACTCATCCATTATTATTATTTTTATTATTATTATTATTCAGCAGTTACCTGGATGGAAAGAGCCAACTAGAACAATTCTTTCACCACATAGGAAAAACCCGTCTTCTCTTTCACCCAGTGTTTCCTCTCCTTGCCCCATGATCTGTTTCAAATCAAATGGTTTGGAGCAGAGAACAGGGAGAACCAGCCAAAAAAGAGCCTTTTCCCACAATGTGGCTGGGAGGTAGAGCAGGACTCATTTGAACAGCACCAGTGACATCTAGTGGCAGAAAGTGGCCCTGTCAGCTTCGTGGCTTGAACTTTCTCATGTAGTTTGAAGGCTGAAAATCCCAACCAGGGGCTCGCTTACTTGCGTAAGAAACGCCATTGAACTTACATTGAATCTGAGGAAGGAGACTTAATGCAGAAATGCAGAAATAATGCAGTTTGACATCTCTTTAACTTCCATGGCTCCATCCTATGGAATCCTGGGATTTGTAGTTTGTTGTGGCACCAGAGCTCTCTGACAGAGAAGGCTAAATATCTCACAAAACTACATACCACAGAATTCCATAGGATGGAGCTATGACACTGTCAAAAAGCATTACTTTTGCAGTGCAGATGCAGCTTAATTGTACCAAATCTTATGCTACCAATTCTTTTTTTCGCTCACTGAGGCTGCATCTGCACTGCAGAAATAATTCAGTTTGACACTACTTTGATTGTCATGGCTCAGTGTTATGGTACTCTGGGAGCTGTAGTGTGCTGTGGCTCTCTGTCAGAGAGCTCTAAATGTTTCGCAAAACAACAATAACAATAATCCCCAGAATTCCATAGCATTGAACCATGGCAGCTAAAGTGATGTCAAACCACTTCTCTTCACATGTGGAAGTTCCATTGCTTCAACAAGTCTTCTCTAGCTGGGAGCAGCAATAAGATTTAAGCCATTGTTTTTTCTTTATTGATGCATTTTTAATCAGCTTTTAATAGCTTTTCATTGTGTTGACTTTTATCTCATTTTATTACTATTAGATGCTTTGGATATCTTTGGAGATATGGATTTTATACAAAAATAATTTATTGTTGTTGTGTATGTTCAAGTTGTTTCCAATTTATGGCAACCATAAGGCAAACCCATATTTTCATTGTTGTTGCAAAATTTGTTCAGAGGAGGTTTGCCTTTGTCTTCCTCTGAGGCTGAGAGAGTGTGACTTGCCTAAGAGCATTCAGTGGGTTTCCATAGCTGAGTGGGGATTTGAACTCTGGTCTCCAGAATTCAGAGTCCAGTGCTCAAACCACTGTAGCATGCTGGCTCTTACAAAAACATTTAAGTGATGTTGAGCAGCCTTAGGGCCTTTGCAGACTGTCAGAAATAGTGCACATTAAATTGAGGCACTGCCCTGGCTCAGTGCTAGGGAATCATGGGAACTGTAATTTATTGTGGCACCAGAGCTCTCTGAAAGAGAAGGCTCAATGTCCCAGAAAAAAATGCAATTCCCATGACTCCCTAGCACTGAGCCAGGGCAGTGCCTCAATTTAATGTGCACTATTTCTGACAGTCTGCTTAGGCCTATAGTCTCAAACATTCTACAAGATCCCTTGTATACTGATATTCTAGACCACCACAGCTATGCCTATGAATTCTGCCCCACTTGAACTAAACAAGACCATCATCACAGTAAAGTCATATGGTTGCTTTGTTAGCCCACCATCTTATTTTATTTATTTACTTCATTTATACACCACCTTTCTCCCAGAGTGAGACCCAAGGCAACTTCCAGAAATAAAAAATTAAAAATATTTATAATATTTTTTTTAAAAAAAGAACATTTAAAAATCCCCACGTTAAATGGTATATAATCAAAGTATACTTCCATGGGAATAAGTTGCACTGAAAATGCATAGGATGGAGGTTGAGGAAGTCTCCCTCCCATCTCATAAGAGAATACCATAGAATTGGCCTAGAATTTTAACAAGGGAGAGAGAAGATGAAGTTATTCTGAATTATATCCTCATCCTTTTTTTTTTTTTTGGATATGTTTCTTCTGAACAGAGTGGATGTTAGACCTTGCTGCTTGGGAGGAGAATAGGAATAGAACAAAGATGTGCCAGTTTCTTTTAAGAAGAGAGCACTCCTCCCCCAACACAGCCTGTAAAAAAGATAATTTCCAACCTCTTTGGCCACCAACAAATTACATTCTACCAAAAAGGTAGAGAATTGGTTGGAAAAGAGGGCATAGAACAAGTATTCAGAAAAAGTAAGAGGGAGTGTTAGATTAGGGTTCTGGGAGATCAAATCCCAGTTCAGCCATAGAAACTCATTGGATAATTTTTGAATGATATTGAATGACAACCTCCCTCTGAAGAAACTTGCCAAGAAAACCCCATTATAGGTTCATGTTGTTGTTGTTGTTGTTGTTGTTTGCCTTCAAGTCATTTCTTATGGTGACCCTAACCCGATGGGATTTTCTTGGCAAGTTTCTTCAGAACAGGATTGCCTTTGCCATCTTCTGAGGGCAAGACAGTGTGACTTGCCCAATGTCACTCAGTGGGTTTACATGGCTGAGTTCTCTCGCCTCCAGAGTCATAATCCAATGCTCAAACTGCTATACCATGCTGATTCCAGGTTCACCTTAGGGTCACCATAAGTTGAAAATGACATGAAGGCACACAACAACAACAATTCACATCATGGAAATACTTTGCACATATGAATGAGTGGTCACAGGTTAAATATTACCCATGGAACTTTCCTGTCACCAGTGTGCTTTAAAAAACAACAACAAAAAGCAAAGCACACCTCATTCTCTACTTGTGCATCTTCCCCTTTGGACCTTGACTACTGACAGCTGAAGATGTAGTCAGGCTGTCAACAAAGTGGTGAATATACTCTGGCTTTTAGTCCAAATGTTAGGGCTATCAAAGGTACTGAACCTATTGTGAAATTAAGACAAAGGGCCTAAGCAGACTGTCAGAAATAGTGCACATTAAATTGAGGCACTGCCCTGGCTCAGTGCTAGGGAATCATGGGAACTGTAATTTATTGTGGCACCAGAGCTCTCTCACAGAGAAGGCTCAATGTCCCAGAAAAAAATACAGTTCCCATGATTCCCTAGCACTGAGCTAGGGCAGTGCCTCAATTGAATGTGCACTATTT